TCCTTCCTTCTAAAGGGTGGGGGGTACACTGAAACCACCCGGAACCTGCGTTCGCCATGTCGGACAAAGGCGGCGACGGCGCATCCTTGGACGGTCACCCGTTGCTCGAGGAGACCGACGCCGTGAGGAAGAAAAATGCCCACTCCTCCGGCGAGTCCTCAGGGCGGCCCCAGGCAACCCGGGGATGCTACCAGGGCTCGCGCCGGGAACATGGTTATACAGACCTCAGTCTCGTGCTCGGACTAATGCGTTTCTTGTACCAAGGCGATGCGATTGTTCATAGTGGCTTGGGTGAGGAGGGCGTGATTGAATTGGTTTTTGGCCGCTGTGCAGGTCCGGAGGTATCTGACGCTCCAGCCGGCGAGCCTGGGGAGGTTGCCGGCTGGGGTGGCATCAAGCGCGTGTAGCAGGTCGTTAAGGGTGAGATCCCCGCAGAGGGAGCCCAAAGTAGGATGGTTCCTGGAGTCGGCGTGGACGAGACACCAATGGCCCCTCGGCCCGCGGATCTTGCACTGACAGCGAGTTACTAAGTCCCAATTGAGAAAGCGGCGGGCTTCTTGCCATGCCCGGGCGCGTGGCCCGGGCGCCTGGGCGGGGACCCCAGCGCCTGGTGGAGCGTTCTGGGGCCCTCTGCGGAGTCTAGGGGAGCGTCAACCCGGGAAAGACTCCTTCCGTCCGCAGAAGCTGCTCCGCAAGGTCGTCCGGGAGGGGGCGCTCCCTGACTTGCGCCCAGGGGCACTGCGTCCCTGCGCGTAGAGCGCCCCGTCACGTACTCCGACCCCCCGGCAGTAGCCGGCTAGGCCCACGGCCCTCGCCCTCTCTTCGGCTGTGGGGGGTCTGAGTCCGTGCGCTCTGCCCTCCTTCACTAGCCATCTTCCCCAGGCCCTGACTTTGTCTTCGGCGGCAGGGCTCTCCCTTTCTCTTCCTGCCATGACAAGGTTCAGGCCGTCCGTACATCCTGCAAAGCGCTGTTCTGCTCCGCATTCTGCAAGCATTTGTCTTGCTCCGTGCTTCAGCTCGGTTGGGTTTGTGAGGAACCACCTGAGGCTGCTGTCTTCGTCGTATAGTAGGCACAGAAGATGGGTCTGGTAGCTACTCGGAAGGATCGTGTCTGGGCCCCCTGGGGGGGCCCTGGACTGCGCCCACGTTGGGATTCTTCCGTCCGGCCTGTATGCCCACCTCGGTTCCCAGGGGCTGGGGAGGCGGGGGTAGGTTATGGCGTCGACTGGGGGTGGGAAGTTCCCGATCCAGAGTCGCTCTCTCGGGCTGGCAACTGCGCCCCCTGCGTTCATTTTTAAAGCCCACTCTGAGTTCAGGCCCCCCATGGCTGCGCACATGGCCTTGCGGTGCGCGGCGGGCATGGAGGCCGCGCTCTCCACCGGCACCAGGATGGTTAGGTCAGGTCTTCGCTTGCTTGCCAGGTACCACGCTATCGTGACGGCGAAGAAGCAACAGGACTGGGCCCCGGCCAGCCCGTCATTACCAGCGCGCTGGCCGGCCGCAGAGAGGTCGCTGCAGGGTGGGCCTGCCACAATGAGTAGCGCGCTGCCCTGCTCCAAGGAGTCGAAGTGCTTTTCCCGCGGCGTCCTGTTGTCGAGGGGGCCCCTTCGGCGGAAGAGGCCCCATGCGTCCTCAGCCAGCTGCTCGTGTGGGGGGCCTCCATCTTGTGGGTCGGGGGTGGCACTCCATCTGCGCGCTACTGCTTCAGCTGCCCCTCTGCTGTGCTCCGCGGAAGACGAAGACCGAAATCTGCGGCTGGATCCTAGCTTGTGGACGAGGTCGCCCACAGCTAGTCTGGCTAGCCCCCACCCGTCGAAAATGGACACGAGGTGGAGAGGCGCGCGCTCCTCGGCCCCGCTGCTGCCCCGAACCGCCCCCCCTTGCGGCACCACCCCTGCCTGCTGCGTGAAGTCTATCTCGGCTGCTTCTTCGATCCGCACTCTTCCGGCGACGTCGTCAGCCGCGCGTTCGGGGCCTAGCCTGACGGCGCCCTGCTCATGTAGTGCCCTGAGAGTCTCCAAGATCAGGTTGTTGTCCAGGCCGGCCACCTGGTAAGCCGCAAGAACCTGATCAGGGGGGGCGACTGGTGAACGGCCAGCGTTGCGGTCTCCGCGCTGGGCCCACACCTGCTGCAGGACATCCACGGGCTGAGGCGCTGCCATCGGCTCCGCGGGGGCTGGAGTGTGGATTCTGGCTCTTGCCCTTCTTACCCGTTCTCCTGGTCCTTGTGCCCCTGTTGCGTTTCGCGCGGTGCCCCTTCCTGCCCCGCTCTGCCCACCTGTTGTCGGCCGGGCCTCCCACACTGACGCGAGGGAACGCGAATTGTCCTCCTCGGGTCTGTTCGCACCGGGCCTCGCTCTGGGTAGAGCTCTCGCTCCCATGGGGCAGGCTGGCCGTGTCCGTCTGTTTCGGCTCCTGGTCTGCTGCCTCCTGGCGACTGGGTGCTCTGCCTCTCTGCTCTGCTGGCTCCGCCGCTTGGGGCGTCGCGGCGGCTCATCCGCGGGCACTCCTGTGGGCCGAAGTCGCACCTCAGTGTCCTCCAGCTGTGGGGCTCTGTGGGGGGTTGTTGGGGACTGACCCGCGCCCTCTCCGGGCTCGGGCTGCTGGGAGGGGCTGTCCGGTTGGGCTCGCCCGCCTCTGAGGTTGAGCCAGCTTGAGTCAACTGCCCTGAGACGGCCGGCGTTCGCCCCTAGCGAGCCCCCCATGTTCGCGGCGAGGATGGCGTCGAGGGCTTCGTCGGTTAGAGGCTGGAAGGGGTATAATGGGCCTTCGCATCTTGAAACTCCTCTTGTTGTGGGCAGCATAATCGCGCACGCCGCGTCTGCAGTGAGAGCGGCATTTTGAGCCCAGATCCTTCTACCTGTGGGGTTCCTGGTGCCCATTGGCGGGTTCTGGGCCCAGCACGTCTCAAGGGCTATCATCTTTCCAGCTGGAGCATGGAAGTGCCCCAATCCATGGCTCTGAGTACGGTCCTCCGCATTTCTCCGTCGGCGCATCCTAGTCCCTCCCACCGCGCGGGGGGGCCAAGGGGGTATAATATTTCTGCGGCGCGGTTGAGAAGAGAGCTCCACCTGGACTCCATGCATGGTGGGAGGCGTGGTCCTGCCCTGGGGGTGCCCCCCCTCCCTGGTGGGTCGCTGGTTGGGTTTCGTGGGACGCTGTCTGGTGGAGGCCAACTCCTGGGCTCGACGCCAGGGTGGGCCTGCGCCGCCCGCCGGGCGTTCCCTGATTCTGGGTTCGGCGTTTGTGCGCAGCCGGCCCCTTCACTCCCCTGTCTGTTGCACTCCGCGTGGGATGTCGGCGGTTGGGGAGCCCCGGTACCTTGGGCTCCGGGCTGGGGGGAGGAGGTCTCCTGGGCCGGGGCGGCTTGTGGGCCGCTCGGCGCAGGTTGTCCGCGCCGGTCGTCTACTCGACCGCCCGCCGGTGACTGTGGCGGTGGTGATTGAGAGGCGCTCCCATTTCTTTCCTCGGACCCAGCTCCCCCGCCCTGGTTGGCGTCGCCATCTGCTCGCGTCGGGGGGGCGCTGCCTGCGGCCGCGCGCCGGGGGGTCGTCTCTGGGCGGTGGGTTGTCGCCGCTGCCCCGTTCAGGATTATTGAGCCGCTGACCTTGTCTCGCGACAAAGGTGGCCTGGCCTGGCGAGGGAGGCATCTGCGGCGGTGCCTGCTGGGCGACGGGAGGGGGGATTGTTGGAGGCTGCGGAGCGGGGCGGTCCCGGGTCTGCGGGTCGCCAGCGCTCTGTTCTGCCGCTGGCGGCCTGCCCAGAGTCCGGCTGCGTCTAACCTGCGCCTGTTCACTTTGCGCTAGGTTCGCCCCACTGTTGTTTGGGGGGTGGTTCGCTGGCCCCTGGATGCCCTTCGCGGTCTGGGGGCTCCTCCCGGGTCGTGGTGACGTCTGTCTTCCTGCGCTGCGCTCCGTAGCCTTCCGCCTAAGGCATTCAGCCTCTCGGCGGTGCCTGGGGCAAGCACGCGCGCGGTAGAGCCGTCGATCTCGGCGCCCCTGCTTCCAGGAACCTCCAAACACGGGTGGTGCGCCGTGCATGCGGGGTCGGGCTCGGGGGAGAGCCACCGCGTGAAGGGAAGCTGTCGAGTGGCCTCCTCCTTTATCCCTAGCTCGTCAATGAACTGGAATACGTGGTCTCTGTCCACATTGCTCGGGTCAGCCAGCTGAAGGATCCATATGGCAGCGAAAAGGTCCCAGTTGTATCTCAGAATAGGCCTGCCCTCCTCCTGTCGTCGCTGTTCCAGCACGAGCCTGGTCTGTATGCTCCTGGCCATGTCGTGGATGCACTGCTCTCCGACGCAGGCTAGGAACCTCCCGAGCATTCCCTGTGCGCATAGGACCGCATCACTTTCCGCCCTCACGAGAACGGCTCCGGGCTCAGAGCGTGCACGGCTCCTGCGTGTGAGCACCTGTGCTAAGTGGGGAAACGTTATTGGGCGGGCTGGGCCTGGCAGTGAATCCACGGCTGCCCGCCTTCTGGGGGGCAGGGATGGGCTGGCGGACTGGCTGGTGTCGACCCCTAGATCCGCCGGCATTGGGGTGCGGGCGGGGGTCGCGTCAAGCTTGGCTTGGTGCACTGGGCCGTGTGTCAGCTGCAGAATTACCCTGGCTTGCGGACGGCCCGCGCCTCGACTGGCAGCTCTCAGGTCGGCTTCGGCGGGCAGCGCGATCGTGCCCACATGGGGTTTGAGGTGTATAAATGCCCGCTTTCTCCGCTGGTGGTGATGCATGCCGCCCATCCTGCAGCTATCGCTGCCGTGAGGTGCTCCCCGGGGTGGAGGATGGTGCTGTAGTCTCGCAGACCCTCCCTGTCCTCCGTGGGTCTGCGGCGCGTCGTCGCGTTCCGCCCGTCTATGGCTATGTCTACGTCTCGCAGCCATTCCTCGGAGATCGTGGGGGGGGGCCCCTCGTGTTGGCTGGTATCGCCCTGCCCTCCGTTCCCGTGGGCAGCGGCCAGGCTCTTGTGTGCAAGCTCGCCCCTGATGAGCCTATCGTGGCTGAGAACATTCGTAGGGTAGCGTGTTGGGGATACGCGAAGCATCAAGAAGATTGTCCCCTGCCTGATGTCCACCAAAGGAGGTCGGCGACGCCACAAAAAAGAGAGGTGTGCATCAGCCCCGTGATCGCCACAGGTTGCCCTAAGAACCCCATGGGGCGCCACCAAACTGCCAGGCAAACCCAAGAGGCCTCCAGGACGGTCTCCAGGAGCCCCGAAAAGGGCCTGAAGAACTCAAGACAGCCGAAGATGGTCCTGGAAAGCCCCTACGATGGTCCAAGAAGAATCCAAGACGCCACCCGGGGAGCAACAACAACGATACTTGTACGGTTCCTGTGTTTCTTCGACTGTCCCAAATACTGTTCCCAAGATGTCCCGAGACCGCTTCAAGACAGCCTCCAGAGATCCGAAGGTTGCCCAAGATGGGCACACGGTGGCCCAAATGGCATGAAAGATGCTGCTGCCGCCAAGATCGCCCAGGATGGTCTAACAAGGCCCCAAGACATCACCGAGATGCCTCCAAGAGACACCAAATATGATGTTGTGGCTTTCAGGCACGGCACCGCCGCGATCGCGATCTTGTGGCGACGCCTGGGGGTCTAGGACGAGCAGAAGGCCGCGGACGGGGCCGTCGGGCGGGCCGCGCTGTTGCCGACCCGCTCGCGAACGACGACGACGACGACGACGACGACGACGACGACGGCCGACCCGCTCGCGAGCTCTCAGAGCTCGCCGCCGCCGCCACTGGAGGAACGAAAAACGGCATGAACATACACTTTCGGAGCTCCGCACGGATTTCTTGGATCGGCGCCAGACGCACTTCCATGGCGCGCCAAGGGCGGCGCTGGAGGCGCCGCCAGGGGGGGCACGCAGCGCAAATCCAAGGAGTCCGCACGGAGCTCCGAAAGATTACGCTTCTGCTCTGTTCGCTTCTCCGAGATGTCCCAGCGCCGGGAGCCTCTGGCGCCACCCGCCCCCAGCTCCCACAGGGCCCACTTGGCCATGGGCGCAGCCTCGCGGCGGCCGTGATAGAGCTTCGGGTGCGCCCAGCCGACCGCCGCTATCGTCGGGTAGCCGCTGACGTTGTGTCTCCTGCACACGCCCTGGTTGGCGCGCTCCGCACAGTCCACGGCGCCGACCGAGATCCCCTCGCCTTTGAGCATCGTTCAACCGATCCCTATCACCCCTGGCGTGGAATTGGCCTCACTGGCCGACTTGATTCTTGACCAACCGTCCTGTGGTGCTGGGTCATCGCTTTGAAGAGACACCGCCCCGCGTCTCCTCCCTCTCATCTCATACTCCCCCTTCCTCCCTCCTCCCGATCCCTGCCTCTGCTCTCCGCATGTCAAAAATTCCGGCAAACCCCTCACACGCTTCGTGGCCCCATAGGGAGCTCCACCAAAGCCCCCACGCCGCGGTTTTGCATGTGATTATCAACGTCTCTCACGCCTCGTGGCCCCGGACGGAGCCCCACCGAACCCCCAGGAGAAGATTTTGCACGGGGTTCTCCGCACCCCTCATACGCTTAGTGGCCCCATAGGGAGCTCCACCGAAGCCCAAAGGAGGGGGGTTCGCCTCGAGGCCCCACAGGGAGCTCCACCGAAGGTTGGCGGCGAGCGCGGGGAGGATTTGAGAAGGAGCAGGCCTTCTCAGAAGGCTCGGAAGTCATCCAGCCTTCTGCAAAGTTGTCTAAGCCTTCCCCGAAGGCCCAAAAACTTCTCGAAGGCGCGCGGACCTCCGAGAAGTCCCGCCGCCTTCTGAGAAGGCTTTCTCCTTCTCACTTCCCCCCCTCGCTCGCCGCCGAGATGGCATCAGGAGGGGGTTTTGCATGTGGCTCTCCACACACCCCACACGTTTTGTGGCCCCGTAGTGAGCTCCACCGAAGTCCCCAGGAGGAGGTTTCGCATGTGGTTCCCCTCACCGTCGTACGCTTCGTGGGCCCAGAGAAAGCTCCACCGAAGGCTCCAGGAGGGGGTTTTGCATGTGGCGCACCCCTCACACGCTTCGTGGCCACATATGGAGTTCCACGAAAGCCAACAGGAGGGGGTGTCGCATGCGGTTCTCCACCCACTTCGATACACCCCTCACACGTTTCGCGGCCCCACAAGGGACCTCCACCGAAGCCCACAGGAGGAGGGGTTCGCATGCGGTTCTCCACCCACTTCGGCACACCCCTCACACGCTTCGTAGCCCCATAGGGAGCTCCGCTGAAGGCCCCAGCAGCAGCGTCCTCATGGCGGCACCTCTTCCATGTCGGCATGCCCCTCACAAGTTTCGTGGCCTCATAATAGGGAGCTCCGCCGAAGGCCTCAGTAGCAGAGTCCGCACGGGGACACCGCACTCATTCCGGCACATCCCTGACACACTTCGTGGCCCCATAGGGAGCTCCGTCGAAGGCCTCAGTGGCAGCGTCCGCATGGCGGCACCGCACCCATTTCGACATATTTCTCACAACCCCCCTCCTTCGTCTCATCTGCCTCGCGGCATTCGCAGCTGCACGCGGTTGGCTCCTTCGCCTGTATAATGAAACCGGCAGCGCCGATGGACGCGGGCACGTGGATTGGTACCGGCGGAGCGCGCCAGGCGCGAAGTGGCCGACTTACACACACGGGTAGGGGGGATATATGCCTCTTCCCTCGGGCCTCGAGGGGCACATTCCCATGGGAGGGTAGGCTGGTGGGCTGAGATACCCTGGCACACTGGGAATGGGGATAGGTTAAACGATGCTGAGCCTTGGAGCCTCCGCGCCAGCTGGACATACTCGGGCTGCAGGGCCTCGCAGTGGCCGCACCACTCCGCATGGAACAGCACCACCCACGCCTGGCCCGCGCCGCGCCGCGGCCAGTTCTCCTCGCAAAGGCTCACCACTGGCCCAGGGTACGCCGAGCCAGGGCAACCAGAGGGAGTGGGGGGGCAAAAAGATGCCGATGCCGCGACTCCCCTCTCGCGGAGCACGGTCTGGCCAGGATTCCGAGGAGAATCCAGCAGTGGCAACGAGGAATCTCCAGGACGAGCAGCGGTATCGTTACCTTCCCCCCCTGGGCAGACTGTTTTTTATTATTTACCGTAATGGTCGTGACCTGGGGGGGGGCCGGGTTAAGGCAACGCTTGGGCAGGGTGGGGCACGTCGGGGCAGGGGGGGGGCTGCGATTGCAATGGTATGCGCGCGAGCACGAGCATGGGGGAGGGTCGACGCCCCCCCCCCGATGGGGAGAGGAGGGGGGCTTGGCCCGGGCACCGACCGTCACGCGCCAGAGGATAAAAAACAATCTCGAGGAAGCCCCGCCCGCCCCGCCGCACGAGCGCGCGAAGAGCAGCAGCGCCGCCGGGAGCGGGCGACCGCCCTCGGCCGGGCGGCGCGCGCCCCCGCCGCCTAGGGACCAGCGGCGCATGGCCGCCGCGGTGGGCGCACAGTTTGCCGCAACGGCGGGCGGCGCGCCTGGGCCCCAGAAGCGAGGGGCATCGCCAGCCAGCTCACGCAGCAAGTGTCGTTCGTACCCTCCCTCGGGCGGGGGGACCCCCCGACGTTTTCGCACGTTCCTGGAGGGGGTTCGGCCTCCGGATGCGTCTCAGCAAAAGATGGCGTTCCAGGGGGGCAAGAATCGTCCTGCACACCCGCCACAGGCCAGAACTCTGATCCGAAAACACCACCAGGGGACCCGCTCAAGGGGGAGACATCGAGCTTAAATCGGCGATACCTCGACGATAGATCGGCGATAGGCCCCCGATCGCGAATCCGCGCGTTCATGGGCGGGGCGGGCTATTGGGTCCCAATCGGCGATGAATGTGCGATCGGGGGTCGATGCAAGCCTATCCCCCTTGGCATGGGCGCTCGGCCGCTACTCTTTACATGCATAGAACGACCAAAACATGCAAATCACGTGAAAATGCAAATCTCAGGGGGGGGCGAACAAAAAAGCCCAAAAAGCACAAACAACAACCAACAACAACAACAACAACAACAACAACAACAACAACAACAACAACAACAACAACAACAATTACTAGCACGTGGGGACACTCCGTTCTCACCAGTGCCAGGGTTTTCATAGGAGGCGGGCAATACCCCCACTTTGTGGGGGGGCCGGTTCAAGCTCTACCACATTTCCAAACGACTCTTCGCCACCACCCACACCCAGCTTCCCGCCCTATGACGTTCGGACACCTCACTTCGTGGCCTGCGGACGACCTTGGCTACTACACTGGCGCATGGGTACAATGACTTGTTGTGGTAACATTTTCTGTAAGCTAGCTTAGTATACGACTTTTCCCCTGCAATTGAAGATTTCGGCGTGCGCGCGCGAAGAAAAAACGAATGTGTCCCATATGGTATTATTTGACAGGGATGATGGCCCTGGCAGGCGCGCAACCGTTGTTGCAGAAGTTCGAAGCACGTGAAAAAGTTGCTCGCAAGAGCCCGTTTGACAGAAATGTTGAAAAAGTATTGGGTTTCCTAAGAAATCCGCAAGAGCGCGCGGGATGAATGTTTGAAACTTCTTTTTTGAAAAACCATTGGGTTTTTCATGTTTTGTATGTTAAAATCGCTACGAAAACTAAGGTTTTGGAAGGATTTCATATTGCGCGCGCGAGTGTGCACTTCGTGTCATTTTTTGCAAAGGATTCTTGAAGCTTGGTTATGTTAGAACAAGACATGTCATTTTATATTGTTTTTGACAGGGAAAGCGGGCGTCAACAAAACAACCGGATCCGGACTCCCCCGTTTTGCCTGAGACTTCCTCACGAAAATGATGAAAATGTGGCTGCGGCCTAGGCGCGGCGAGGGGGGCGTGCACCAGGGGGCCCCAACAACAATTATTCTTTAGAACAGTATTCAACAACAACAACAACAACAACAACAGCACAGCAACAACAATAACAGCAGCAACAACACCAACACAACAACAACAACAACAACAACAACAATTACTAGCACGTGGGGACACTCCGTTCTCACCAGTGCCAGGGTTTTCATAGGAGGCGGGCAATACCCCCACTTTGTGGGGGGGCCGGTTCAAGCTCTACCAAATTTCCAAACGACTCTTCGCCACCACCCACACCCAGCTTCCCGCCCTATGACGTTCGGACACTTCACTTCGTGGCATGCGGACGACCGTGGCTACTATTCAGGGCCCCGCGGCCGACGACGACGGCGTGCGCGCGCGAAGAAAAAACGAATGTGTCCCGCATGGTATTATTTGACAGGGATGATGGCCCTGGCAGGTGCGCAACCGTTGTTGCAGAAGTTCGAAAAAGTTGCTCGCAAAAGCCCGTTTGACAGAAATGTTTAAAAAGTGTTGGGTTTCCTACGAATCCGCAAGAGCGCGCGGGATGAGATTTTGACATTTTTTTTTGTTGAAAAACCATTGGTTTTTGATGTTTTTATGTTAAAATCGCTGCGAACACTAAGGTTTTGGAAGGATTTCGTCTTGCGCGCGCGAATGTCCACTTTACCTTATTTTTTGCAAGGGATTCTTGAAATTTGACTATATTAGAACAAGAAATGTCATTTTCTATTGTTTTTTGCAAGGGAAAGCGGATTACAACAAAACAACCGGATCCTGTACACACCCTCTTTTCTGAGGCTTCCTCACGAAAATGATGAAAATGTAGCTGCGGCCTAGGCGGCGCAGGGGGGGCGCGCACCAGGGGGCCCAACAATAATTATTCTTTAGAATAAATAATGTTCAACAACAACAACAGCAGCAGCAGCATCAACAACAACAACAACAACAACAACAACAACCATTTTAAGGTTGTACGTTCTTACTTGCCCGCGAGTCATTCAACACGTATACCCTACACCCTCGATACCCGCCCTCTTCGTCTTCGATCACACCCCTTTCGGGGGGATTATTTTTCTTTGCTGGGGCCGGCGGGCTTAGACGTACGGGCAAAGCGGAACGGGCGGACAATCCTTCGGGGGCGTACATCTCTCTGCCCGCCATTGGAATTGGCGCGGGCCCTGCAAGAGGAGGAGGGAAAGAACGAGGGAGAGTGGGAGGAAGGGGAGGGGGAAGGACGAAGGAAGAGGGAAGATACCACGTTGTGAAGGCGTCCTTGGCGCGCGCGTGATTCCTGAGCGCCGAAACGCAATTCCAGAATAATTTGCGAGGACGTCGCACGCGAGAGCGCAGTCCTGAGTACATTGTAAGGAAATCTCAGGCGGAAGCGGGGGCCCTGACTAAGTCCCACCAGCCCTTTGGGCGTGAGTGGTTTAGCGAGCTCTCTTTGTTCTCAACCCCCCTTTTTCCCCTTCGGGGAGGCGTTTACCCCTCCCCCTACCCCCTCCCCCTGGACCTGGAGAGGGGGTCCGGCGGGTCGTCACGGGGGTCAATTTCCACTCCTGGGAGTGCTAAAAAACGACACCCCTCACGAGGATTCTGCCCCCGACGGGGGGGCGCCCCCCCCAAAAAAAACCTCTTCTGTCAAGCCAAAATCATTGATTTTACAAAGGTCTCGGCCCCATTTTGGCCTTCTGAGGGGGCAGCGCCCCTCTTCCGTGTTCTCAAAATCATTGATCGTTTTTGGGCTCATGTTGTCCTTCTCAGGGGGCAGCGCTCACTTGCGCTTCTGAGGAGGTCGCAAGAGGCCCCAAGATGGCCCCAAGATGCCCCCAGGAGGTTCCCAAGAGGCCTCCAAGAAGCCCCCAAGAGGCCCCCAAGAGGCCCCCGGAGGCTCCCAACAGGCCCCCAAGAGGCCCCCAAGAGGCCCCAAGAGGCCCCAAGAGGCCCCCAAGAGGCTCCCAAGAGGCCCCCAAGAGGCCCCGAAGAGGCCCCAAGAGGCCCCCAAGAGGCCCCCAAGAGGCCCCACGAGGAGCCCGAACGACTCACACCAGGACGAGGGGCCCGAACGACTCACACCACGAAGAGCCCGAACGACTCACACCACAAGGAGGGGCCCGAACGACTCATACCAGGACGAGGCGCCCGACCGACTCACACCACGAGGAGTCCGAACGACTCGCACCACGACGCGGGCCTCGAACGACTCACACCACGAGGAGCCCGAACGAGTCACACCAGGAGGAGGGGCAGCGCTCATAGAAGCCCCCCAAGATGGCCCCCGGAGGTCCACCAGATGGCCGCAAGAGGTCGCCAGATGGCCCCCAAGAGGTCCCCAGGAGGCACCACGAGGCCTCCATGAGGCCCCCAAGATACCCCCAAGAGGTCCCCAAGAGGCCCCAAGAGGCGCCGAAGACGCCCCAAGAGGCCTAGGCAGAGGCGGAGGAGGCGGACTGTGAAGAAGACAACCATGTTTTCGCACAAGACTTCGAGCCTGGTCGACTCGGTCGCATAGCGGGCTGCGGTGCTCAGGCGCCCAGGCAGCGCCGCAGCGAAAAATCTCGCCGATCGGCCCCCCCCCAAACAGGGAGATTCCTGGGGAATGGCCGAGAATATTATCTCCTACTTGTGTTGGGCCATAATGGCTACGGAAAACCGTCAGGGAATCGCAACGCCTTCGATTCGATTATGGCACAGTTCTTCTGGACCCAAGCCTCTCTCACACTTCCCTGTGAATCTCCGTCCCTTCTCACGACCCCCCGAAACCAGCAGTAGTGACATCCCAGGAGCCCCCGCGACTGCCAAACCCGATAGGAACCAGAAAAAAGGCAGTCACTAGCAAGCCGAGATCGGAAGAACCACCGAAGGCAAGCTCACAGGAACCCGCCAAGGAACCACGGCCCCCGAAAAGCGTGATCCCAGGGACACGACTGAACCGAATCAAACGAGGCAGAGGCGGAGGAAGGACTGTGAAGAGGACAACCATGCTTTCGCACAGGTCTTTTAGCCTGGTCGACTCGGTCGCAGAGCAGGCTGCGGTGCTCAGGCGCTCCTCTTCCGCCATAGCAAAATCATTGACGTTACGAAGATGTTGGGTTCATTTTGCCCTTCTCAGGGGGCAGCGCTCATTTGCGTTTCTGAGGAGGTCGCCAGAGGCCCCAAGATGGCCCCAAGAGGCCCCCAGGATGCTCCAAAGAGGCCCCCAAGAGGCCCCCAAGAGGCCCCCAAGAGGCCCCAAGAGGCCCCCAAGAGGCCCCCAAGAGGCCCCCAAGAGGCACCAGGAGGCACCAGAGGCCCCCAAGAGGCCCCCGAGAGGCCCCCAAAAGGCCCCCAAGAGGCCCCAAGAGGCTCCAAGAGGCCCCCAAGAGGCCCCACGAGGAGCCCGAACGACTCACACCAGGACGAGGGGCCCGAACGACTCACACCACGATGAGCCCGAACGACTCACACCACAAGGAGGGGCCCGAACGACTCACACCAGGACGAGGCGCCCGAACGACTCACACCACGAGGAGCCCGAACGACTCAGGCCCCCAAGAGGCCCCGCGAGGAGCCCGAACGACTCGCACCAGGACGAGGGGCCCGAACGACTCACACCACGAAGAGCCCGAACGACTCACACCACAAGGAGGGGCCCGAACGACTCACACCAGGACGAGG